ATCATTTACTTCAGCAACAAACTTCCCATAAGATTATATGTGCATTTGGTTTATTTTATGCATCTTATTTACATGTAAAAGCCCCTCTTGTTTAGACATCTAAAAGCTCGGAGACAGCTGCTAGATGCAGTCATCTTGGAAGTGATGTCTGCAGACTCAGATCTGTCCCTCGAATAGCATTCTATGTTATTCCCTTTCATTCCTCTACCAGCATCTACATAAAAGGTTATGTAGGGTGAACGGATGGGAGGAGGAGCTGGGCCAGCACAGAGGTTAAACACTTCCCAAAAAGGAAAGAGCTATCACATATAAGAAGGGAGGAGGCTGTGCTATGAATTTAAAGTCAATTAAACATTTTTATGAAAAAGGAGAATTTTTTATTTAAAATACTTGTGTTTTCTATGTTTTACCTGCAATTTTTTTTTATCTTAGTGACAGGTCAATGTTTAAACTTTTTTCAGCTGGAAGTTGACTTTCACAGATACCCGTCATAAAAGAAATATGTTTTGCCATTGGACCACGATCTTAAAATGCTCATTACCTGGCTGTTTAGCCGACTCTCAGGCAGTGATACGTTCGGAGTCACTAACCTGGAACAAGTATGCAAATCAGAAAAGTCGGAAACCCTTATCTGCAGGCTTGTCCCAGGACAGCATTTTCAAATACTTAAGTCAGAGAGTCAACATGACTATTGCACAACTAGCAAACAGGGAGGTCAGCATTTGCAGCACACTTGTTTTTCTGTGAAAATATGGTTCTTAACTACTTCCAGACCGGACACTTTTACCCCCTTCCTGACCAGGGCAATTTTCAGCTTTTAGTGTTATCACACTTTGAATGACAATTGCACAGTCATGCAACACTGTACCCAAATGAATTTTTTACCATTTTTTTGAGACAGATAAATCTTTATTTTGGTGGTATTTATTCACCACTGGGATTTGTATTTTTTTTGCTATGTAAATGAAATGTCCAAAAATTTTGCAAATAAATAATATTTCATCATAAATCTTAGCCAAAATGTATTCTGTTATCTTTTGAGTAAAAAAAAAAAAAAATCCAAATTAGTTTATAACCAAAAATTATAATTTTTAAACATTTTTATTTTTTTATATTATTTTTATTTTTACATACTGTCACCCTAGCAGTACAGTGTCACCATGGTGACACTGTACTACTTGTGGGGGGTGATGATTTTTTTTTTTTTTTACACTGATTGCTTTTACACCCATATAGGATGTAAAAGCAATCATTTCTCTTTCTCTCTGTGTGCATTCTTGCAGCCATTGAGAAGTACGGAGTGAGCTGTGATTGGTCACAGCTTGCCACATGGTACAAGGCTTTTGTGAATAGCCTTGTACCATGTGACCTCTGTGATCATTCACAGATTTCACACGTAGTAAGCAATGTCAGAAGTGACATCTTGCTTACTACTTTGCATGTGATCACTGATTGGACAATCAGTGATCACATGATCGGGACCTCGTACAGAGGTCCCGTCCGACGATCGGTGTTTCACTGTGTCCGGAGGACACTCGACCCTGCAGTGCCACCGTCCGGCCGTTTATATGCAACGGCCGGTCAGGAAGTGGTTAAAAACGGGCAGAACAAAGATTGGCAAGTGGTTGGTAGGGGTAACTATGCACTGCACGGTGCTCTTTGCATTCTTTATCACACCTGCACAATACGGGATCATTCTCACTGGCTGTGTTTCAGCTGCTGCTAGGGGCTTCTGGTGTTTTTTTTCCTGCCTCTGCATGTTAGCCTATGGATGTTATTTACTAAAACTGGAACACGCAAAATCTGGTGCAGCTCTACATAGAAACCATTCAGTTCCCAGGTCTTACGGTCAAAGTTTAATTGAACAAGCTGAAGTTAGAAACGGATTGGCTACCATGCACAGCTGCACCAGTAGCTCCAGTTTTAGTGACTCTCCCCCTTATGTGTCTATGCACACATGGGCTTTTAGAGGGGTTTAAAGGTATAGGCGTTTAAAAGCAGCAGCAGCGTTTTGCCAGCAAGAACTGCTTGATGCATGAAAACATGTAAAAGGTGCATAAAATGTGCATTAACACTGGGTGCCTTTAGCGCTTGTGCATTAATTCATTTCAGTAGCCAGAATAATTTATTATTCTGGCCAATGAAATGAATTAGTGCCCAAACCCTTGATGTGGCTAAACGCATTAAAAGCGTCAAGTGTTTTGTCTGCTGAAATGCTGCTGTCAGGAGGAAAGGCGTCTAGAAGAGATAAAAGAACATCCAGTGTTCATGAGGCCTAAAGCTGAAGTTTAGGAATGACAATTTTTACATAGCTACATTTGTCTAGCTTGGGTCAATGCAAGTCTACTGTATATTGTGTCATATCTGTGGGATCCCTGTGGAAGCTGCAAATTGCTGTAATAGGCACCTCTACTACAGTGCTTGCAGATGGTTACTGGGTCCCGTGCTGCCCTGCTGCTTACTGAACACATGAGGTCACTTGCTTGGCATGGGCACCATTAAGAAAACACTGTTTTCTCAATAAATGCAAATCTTTCTCTGCTTGGATGAGGTGGAGGTTGTGGTATCATCACCTCACTTCTCCACTTCATCCAATCAGAGAATACTTTGCATTCGTGAGAAAAAACAAAAAGTGATCCCTGAATGATGCCCATGCCAAGCAAGAGACCTCCTGTGCTGACAATGCAGCAGGCAGCTGCTCTGCGGAGGACCCAGAAGAAAGCAGAGATCACTGGAGTAGCAGTGTCTACTACAGTGATTTCCAGCTTCCAAGGGATCAAACAGGCATGGTATATGGACTGACTTACATCAGTCAAAAATGGACCAAATGTTATAAAATCGAGTTGGAGTTTAGTGAGTAATATAAGTATTTGATCCCCAAGCAAAACAGGACTTCATACTTGGTAGAGAAACCCTTGTCGGCAAGAACAGAGGTAAGACGTTTCTTGTAGTTGGTTGCCAGGTTTGCACACATCTAAGGAGGGATTTTTGTCCACTGTTCTTTACAGGTCTTCTCTAAATCCTTAAGGTTTCTTGGCTCTCACTTGGCAACTCGAAGTTTCAGCTCCCTCCATAAATTTTCTATAGGATTACGGTCTGGAGACTGGCTGGGCCACTCCATGACCTTCATGTGCTTCATTTTGGACAACTCTTTTGTTGCCTTGGCAGTATGTTTAAGGTCATTGTCATGCAGGAAAACCCATCCACAACCCATCTTCAGTATTCTGGCTGAGGGAAAAATGTTCTCAGAGATTTTACAATACATGTCCGTATCCATTGGCCCCTCAATGCGGCAAAGTCGACCTGTACCTTTAGCAGAGAAACAGTCCCAAAGCATAATGTTTCCACCTCTGTGCTTGACTGTAGGGATGGTGTTCTAAGGGTCATAGTCAGCATTTTTCTTCCTCCAAACACGAGTTAATGCCAAAGAGCTCAATATTGGTCTCATCTGACCAGTTTATCCCAATCCTTCTCGGAATCATTTAACTGTTCATTGGCAATCTTCAGACGAGCCTGTACATGTGTCTTCTTAGGGGGGCTTGCAGGTACTGCAGGATTTAAATCCATGGTTGCATATTATGTTACCTATGGTTTATTCGGTGACTGTGGTCCCAACTGCCTTGAGATCATTCACAAGCTCCCATCTAGTTCTGGGCTGATCCCTCACTTTTCTCATGATTATCCTTACCCCAGGAGGCGAAATCTTGCATGGATTGAGGGCGATTGATGGTTATTTTCTATTTCTTCCATTTGCGAATAATCGCTCCAACAGTTGTCTCCTTATTACCAAGCTTCTTTTTGATGGTCTTGTAGCCAATTCCAGCCTTGTGCAGGTCTACAATCGTGTCCCCGGCGTCCTTTGACAGTTCTTTGGTCTTGCCAATGATGGTGAGGTTTGAATGGAGGAAAGATTCTGTGGACAGGTGTCTTTTATACACATAAGTTGTCGTTAGGAGCACCTTCTTAGTTGACAGAATTCAAACAGAGGATCCCAGTGGAAGGCAGAAGTGCTCACCACTGAGTCATTTTGCTGCCCTAATCATGTTATATCCACATTGTAGCCAACAATTTAATAGCATATGTATAGGGAGAAAACTATGATTTTTTTTTTAATTTTGTATCTCTGCCCAGCTCACTGGAAAGCCTTCCCCTTTATTAAACTGAAGCTGGCTCTGCATACCTCGCACATTCACAGTTACAAAGTAATGATGGTTAAAAAAAAAAAAAAGTGAAGTGTTGTGCTGCTAATATTGCAGAAAACCAATACTCAATAGATCAAGTGAAATAATATCAATCAATAATTAACCCTGGTTTTTTTTGGTTAGGTTTGTTTGATTATATTTATTATCAGATTTTCATGTATTTAATGGTTTGTGTGTTAGACCCCCAGGGTTATTTATTGATTCATTATTTATCACATAATAGGAGAATGCAAACAAGATATAATTAGCATATATAATACTTAAAGTCTACTCTATAGATGTGCGCTTTCAACACAATCCCTCCTTATCTTTTGATTTAAATTCCAGCCACCATTTTTTAAACCCTGCGGCTTCCTGTCATTTTAGTGTTAGATGGTTGGCCAGGTATTTGTTGGATTATATATATATATCATATATTTTTTTTTTTTTTTTTACACTATCAATTGGGATTGCTTTGTAATTAAAATTGACTATTAGTACTTGAGCCCTGTGAATTCTTACACATTTGTGTTGGGTGGTTGGCTGGGTATTTACTTTTTTGGATTGCTTATCATTTGATGTTTCACCATTGTTTTTTTTCTTTGATTCATTTTCTCATCCATACATACTCTACATGCATTTTGCCAACTCATATACTGATTATACGAGTGTTTGAACTACTGGTGGGTGCGTACACATCCTTTTTGTATCTTAATATCCAAGTTTTTTGGATAGTCAGTGGATGATGGTTAAACACCATCAGCTTGAATATAGCAGGCAAAGAAATCCAAATGTGGTCAGGACTGGTCATATACCTACCAGTATAACAATATCTTTCATATGCTCAAATTCTTCTGGGTGGAGGAATGATGTAAACTCTTCCCGATTTGCCATCATGTCTCCGTTAAGATCGGCCTTTTTGAACCTCCTCTCATCACGTGGCAGCATTCTCTTGTAGCTGAACTGGTCTGCATCTTGGAATTCCTCAGGGTTTGCTGCAATGAAGTACCAATAATTTCAATGCAAGTGATATGTTTCCAGTATCTCATGAGGATATTACATGCAACTGACCATCTCCAAAAATAGAGAGGATTTCTGCAAAGTTTCATGGTGGACTGGAAAAGCAAACCCCTCAACTGCTGGATGTTTAAAATAAAAATCACACAGCCTTTTCTAAACACTTCTCTTTCAGTGATAATCCGCTACTGGAATTATTTCTACACGGTAAAAAAGGAGGCAAGGCTCGTGCTAAAGCCAAGACCTGACCATCCTGGGCTGGTCTGCAACTCCCAGTCAGTTGTGTTCAAGGTCTGCTCAGGAAGGGAAACTAAAAGGAACAGGTCAGGGCTACAGTGCCAGTCTATCTGGCCGCCATCCTCAAGTATCTGACATCCTCAACCTGGCCAGAAACATTGCCTGCAATAACCAGAAGACCCTTACCATCCCCCAACACCTTCAGCTGGCTGTCCACAAGGACGAGGAGCTCAACCAACTGCTCAGTGGCACCACCATTGCCCAGGTGAGAAGCCCTGCCCAACATCTAGGCAGTGATATTGCCCAAGAAGATTGAGAGCCACAAGGCGGCTGAGGCCAAGTAAACCAGATCCATTAATTTCTTGCCTTTTTTAAACACCTATATACTATGACAAAAAATGTGATATTCCAGGGGTAGATAGGGAACATACAGGAACCTTGAAAGAAAAAAAAAAAGAACGTAGCTTTTCTCCTTCATATACAATACATGTTTTACAATTATATTTTCTGAGTAGTGTCAGAGCATGCCCAATCCCAACACTCCAGCCCACCCTGCCCCGCTCTACGCCAACCACACATACACACTCCTATTGGCCAATAACAATGATGGCCTGCCTTCCTGGCCACTAGGAATGTGTGATGTGGTATGTGTGGTGGGTTGGTAGAGGGCGAGCTTCACAACTTCGCCTAATCAGAATTTCCCAGCATTCTAGGAGCTAATCTATTTCTAAAAATGCTAGATGTTTTACTGTCTTATTGACCTAATAGCTTTAATGCTTAGTCAATAACGAGCAGGCATACAGATAAAAGGAGGTAAAAGAAAGGTGAGAAGTACTTAATTACATAATTATTACTAAAGCAAGAACAATAACATGACAGCTAAGCAGCTATCATTTTCAGAAGTCAAAAACAGCAATCTCCATGTTTTTTCCATGACAAGTGTACTTTAGGATAGACACAAACAAAACAGGCAGCATGATAATGTAACTCTTCCCTCTCTTAAATGACTGCGACATCTAAATCTGCCCTTCCAAAAATGAAAAGATCCTTTAAACAGCCATCAACTGGCTTCTGCTCAGGTCTGATGGTAGGATACGGTGTGGGCCACATTAAATATGTCATGGACAGAAATAGCAGCTGAAGCAAACTTTTTCAGGAATCTCCTTTTATTTCTATTAGCTATATTTACTTGCTGGAGAAATAAGTGAGCGCTAAAAAGAATCAACACTAACAGCAGCTGTACACCAAAAGGCACCATATAAGACCTTTCAAAGGACACAAGTATAACACAGAGGGGTGCAGCGCTCCTAAAATCTATAACACATAAAAAGTTTATAAGCAAATGACATAGTAAAGTGACCATGTGCAAATAAATATATAGGCCACTAATTCGTGGCTAATAGTGCTGGAAAATGTGAAATACAATATAAAAGTTCATAAAGAAGGTGAGATCCCAAATGATCTAAGGATGTCCTATGACGGAGACCGTGGGTCAGGTGATATAAAGTAATATGATTGCGCACTCACCAGATACGCAAATCAAATGCGCATTGGTCATCCAATATCATCGGATAGATCTTTTCAGATCTGGTCACAGTATATCTCACTCCCTGACGACACTGCCACACCTGAGGGTCACCTTGTAATGGATGTAGCTTCAGCTGAACCCCTATGACTACAAGCAGTAGCTCGAAAACGCGTCAGTGTAGAGCTACAGCAGGTATGACGCCACGCCACCGGCGCTACGAGGGTCCCCGGCGGCCATCTTACTTGCATTTAATGGTCAGTAACCCTTTACATCTACTCCTATCTGTATTACTTACCTTTGAACGGAATAAATATCCTAAAAATACTGCACTATGTGGGCTCCTTTGTTCTTTTGAGCTCCCTTGGGAGCTAACTACACCCACAGAGCAAGCTACATCCATTATAAGGTGACCCTCAGGTGTGGCCGTGTCATCAGGGAGTGAGATATACTGTGACCAGATCTGACCAGATCTATCCGATGATATTGGATGACCTGTGATTTCTACGATCAATGCGCATTTGATTTGCGTATCTGGTGAGTGCGCAATCATGTTACTTTATATCACCTGACCCACGGTCTCCGTCATAGGACATCCTTAGATCATTTGGGATCTCACCATCACCTTCTTTATGAACTTTTATATTGTATTTCACATTTTCCAGCACTATTAGCCACGAATTAGTGGCCTATATATTTATTTGCACATGGTCACTTTACTATGTCATTTGCTTATAAACTTTTTGTGTGTTATAGATTTTAGGAGCGCTGCACCCCTCTGTGTTATACTTGTATATTTACTTGCTGTCAGTTATGTCAATAAGACACAGCAACTAAGGAGATTTTTAGTAGTTCAATTGTCCTAAAATAGCTCAGAGAAGCAACTGAGTGCTAAACATAACAAACTGCTCTCTTTGGAGTATGCTGCATACGTAGCACATAGTACATGCAGCAGATACAAGATGCTACTGCATGCTGCTTGTGTAGTTTAGGCCATAGGGAGCCATCTAATTCATCTGGCAAATTAATCACAAGAGATTTAAGAAGATCAACTAAGTTAGGGTTCATTCACACCAGCCGCTGGTCTGAGTTGCAATGGAGGCAGTGCTGATGCTTTCATTTTTTTTCAAAACAACTTTCTTGAGCCGGCCACTCCGGAGACAAGACATTGTGTCCTATCTTGTGGTGGGACTTCGCTGCAATAGCCACCTGACGCAATCTCATCGCACCTGGTTTGAATCTATCCTTGCTAAAAAATCTCCTGTGTAGCCTAATGAGGCCACTGCCAGCAAGTGGGTAACAAAAAATGAATTACACGAATGTAACTTAGCCATTGCCTGCTCACAACCATCATTGTCAGAGCCATTTGCCCTTCTTCCCTTGTTATCATGTTATGATGTATTACAGCATGCAGGCTATAGTAATGTGAACCCAATGACTGTCAAATGTAAGATAATGTGCAAATAATACAAAACTGGCCACTAATGAGTGAAACACATACCTCCACACAATGCTAGAGCCCAAATTAAATTTACCGTAAAAGGCAACTTAAAGGAAACCTGGGTGTAGCCAAACACTAACTTGTGAAGGTCAAAATGGGTTTTTTTCCCAGGACATTCAGTTAGAGAGGGATCCTGCTATGTGCTGTCTCTCTACAGCGGTCTATCATGTTTCTTGTTGAGTCAGCTAATACCATTCCATTAAAAAAAAGCTCATTGTTGTTGCTGATTGGAGCACTCTACTTCTCACTTGGCATGGGGCACAATGGATCCCTGCAGAGAGACAGCTGTTTACACAGAGCAGTGTTCCCCTCAAAAGCTCTAGTGCAAGTAAAACATTCTTCACAAGTTACTGTTGGACTACAACCCAAGATCATTTATTCACTTTAAGGGGACACCGTCGGGTTTTGCACTCCTCATTTTTCGAAGATTATTTTTATATGCCTTTAGTTAAGCACACCATGAATTTGATAGCAGAGGCTAAAGTTGGTAAGGATTTCCCAACATTCCATGTCATTTCAAGACTTACCCAAGTAGTACCCATAGGTGGCCTGCTTGTACTCTTCCCATGAAATATGGTTATCCTGATTGACATCATAGTCCTTCCAGACTCGTGCTACATTTTCATAGATATATCTTTTCTGGACCCGTTTAATCCATGAAGTCAGCTCTTCAGTGCTTATAAACCCATCACTGTCACTGTCTATTCTGTCGACTATTTTCCTGCAAACAAATTAAATTGATCATCCTTCAGAAAAGGTACCTTGAGCATTACAAGTGATGCATAGAGTTGTCTGTAATTATTCTAGTTTACAAGCATGTCTTCAAGAGATACTCTAAAATATTTATTGCCATTTTTAACTTGAGCTTTAAAAAAGGTAAAAAAAAAAAAAAAAAGAAGAAAGAAAGAAGATTGAGCAACAGGAAACCATATCAAGTGTCCATATAGCTTTATTCTTGACTTTGAAGTGACAATAGGTAGACAAGCAGTAGCCACGTCTCGAGGACCAAAGAATACCACTTCATCAGGGCATTGGCTTTTATGCCAGACTTCCTATATGGACTACAGTACTCTCTGCTAGAAGGGGATAGAAGCAGTAACCTGGCATTTTAATTACAGAGTCACTGTGTCATTGTAAATGTTTGTCTTCTGATTAGAATCCCCTTCTAGGAGAGGGAATTATAATCCATATATATTAAATCTGGTGTAAAAGTCCAAGCCCAGATGACGGAGGATACCTTGGTCACTACGGCACATTGACTACTGCTTACCCACCCATTGTCACTTTATAGTAAAAGCATTCTGGATACTTTATGTGATCGTCTGGAACCTGATCTTTTTTCTCATTTGGCTTTCAGGTTGGGTAGCACTCATCTTGTGGAACTGAAATCACCCCCCCCCCCCGCTTTACGTTTTTGGAGCAGCCAAAGACAAGCTAATGAAAGCTACTAGGCATTATCAAGAAAAAAAAGCTTCAACAGCGGCTTCTGTAACATTCATTTCCTTTAAGGTTAAAGCCTGGTACACACTATACTTTTTTTTTTTTTTTTTACGTTCAGCCCACCAAAAAACAAAAGAAAACAAACAAAAAACAAGCACACAAATTGCTGTGCTAACAAAAGTGATGTTAGTACAGTGATTTTCCCAACTGAGCTATTGTGTCCCCCCCCACCCTTCCCCAGGATACACTGATCAGCACTTGCAACCATTGGCTTCTAGCGCTTATCGGATGCCAGTCAGCTGCTAGTTTTCCAGTATGCTCATTTGGCAGAAGCCGGACATTAGGTTGGACAGCCTCTCCAGTGTTTTTTTTTTTTTTTTGCAATATTCTTGGGAAGGCTCAGAATCACGCTCATGCTTTTATTGCTATATGTGCCTCTTTTTTGAAGACAAATTGTTAGGCAAGATACCCCAATGGCAGCATGGATAGCAATAAAATCTTTTGTTGTTAGTAGAGTGGCTAAAGGGTTAGACTATCCACCGGGTTTATTGTGGTCTGCACCTCCACTGGGAATGTTCCAGTCATCCCCTGGGCTTGGTAACCTCCGTTCCAGCGACAAACTACAGAACACATCCCCCTTTTCTCATCATGGTCGGTCATCATAGGTGGGGGTGTTTTGTAGTTCACAGAGGTGGGCAGGGCTGGTAACACTGCTTGAGACTTCAATGCAGTGCAGCCAGTGGCACAAGAAGTTGTCAGCTCATTTTATTTCTTCACTATAAGGTTAGTCACCAAAGAAATGTCTCAATGAGTATGACACTCCTCCTATACCAACATCATTGCGCCAATATAATAAAAAGTGAATATAATCACTGGATGCTGCTATTATTAAAAAAACTGTAAATAATGATAAATTGTGATAAGCAAAAAAACCACAAATAATAGCGCAATCCTAAATTAAATCAATAAACTAAATTGCACAAATATATATAACCACCAAATATGTGCAAATTAATAGTGCAATAACATAAATAAGGAGTCTCAATATAGTCCATTCAAAAAAGTCCATATATCAATGATCCTCAATCAATGAAGTACTGAGATCCTCCTTCATCAAATGTGATATTCAGTGCTCAGAACACCCCATCAAATTGCACACTCACCATGTGCTAGTAATTAACCAGCATATTAGTATATATCCAGCATTCACCAAACAGACTCCAAGAGAAGATCCTCATGTGTTGGTAATTAATCAGCATATCAATATATATCCAGTATTCCACCAAACAAACTCCAAAAAGAAGATCCTCTCATATCCAAATTAGCACATGTGGATTGCGCTATTATTTGTGGTTATTTTGCTTATCACAATTTTATCATTTTATTTCTTGCAGGATCAACAGGTTTTTTTTTTTTGCACTTATTGAACAAACGCATCTAAACATTTCAATGGTATATTTAAAAAGAGGAGGGGTTAAATTGGTTCTAATGCCTACATTGTTTTACCTTAAAGTGGTTGTAAACATCAGACACGAAAATTTGAACAAAGCATATGCCTCTATAGTGTGTACTTGTCTCAGTCCAGAGCACTAAGTGTCTGTCTGCTGCCTTCTTCCTCTGCTATCAGCATGAATCACTTCTGACAAGTTTTCCTGACACTAAGAGAAAAAGAGAGACAGGGGACAGAGCCCCAGCAGATTGAAAGCCTCAGCTCTGTTCCTGTGAGTTGTGTGAAGGGGGTGCATCTCTTCCCTCCAATCAGCTCTACTCACTTCAGCTGTCCGCCCCCTGATTTTCAAAGCTGAGAGATCCTGTGTAAATTCTGCACTCTGAACAGATGTAAGGGAAATATGGATGTAGGTAAACAGGTACTACTTATGGTCCTGACGAAGCTGAGTGAGATACGCCCATTCGGCGAAACGCGTTGACGTCATACGTCAGTTACGTCACTTCCGGTCATGCGCACTAGGTGGAACGCACGCTGATCCATGAGGAGGAAGCCATCTTCACATGCCATGAGGCAAGCGTGAGCAGCACAAGCGCCAAGAGGGGGCTGGAGCCCGCGGTATATCGGTGGATGTCAGCGGTGGCTCCCTGGTCTCTGTGGCCGTGTATGGCAATACCCATGAAGGACATCTCTTTTATTCTCATTTTCCACAGCACAGGTGGTGAGTGGATTGTTGCGGGACATTAGATATATAGTCCTCTGTGATCTATATGATCTATATATCTTACTGAGTGTAAGCTCTGTCAGTGACTTCCCACATTATTTGTTTTACTACAGGATGGGGACATCATGGTGCTTTATGTAGGACACAAGATATAACACCATATATATTTCTACAAGCAGAAGATATCTTGGGATATGTCTTGTTGTTTTTTCTACAAAAGGTGGTGTGTAGTCCACAAACAGTGGTGAAGACACCATTTCAAGCAGAGTGTTGCTATTTGCATCTTTTTCTCCCATCCTGGGAATAATTGGGGCTTATTTTCATTCAAAAGCTCTGAGATACAGCTGTTCATATTACAGATGAATGGGCCCCAACCACGTGTGCTGGTACAGGAATGCATTGTATCATATATTGGACATTTATGTCTTTTTCCACACAGGCCCTAGGCCTATTGTTCTCTTCTTCACGCTTTTTGTGCTGCTGCCCTGCATACATGTGATATATATATATATCCATAGTATAATTTTTGGATTCCCTTATTGGGATTCACCAGAATGATATTGTCATTTATTACATATTCAATACTATGGTATACTTATGGTACAATTTTTTTGGATACACCTCCTCATGGAAGTGTTCACCTATGTGCTTGCGCTGCAGAGGTATTAGACTCTTGAAGTCATTTTTTCTGTTGCACATGCATTTAGACCGGTCTTGATGTCATTTTATATGGTTTTAGGTCTGTGTGTTATTGTCTCATACTGAGGTGATGGTAAACCAGGGCATATGCCCATATGTCATATCTATATATGTGTAATAAAGCATAATTTTTGGAAATTTTCTGAGTGTCACGTTCTATTCATTATGTAGCCGCTTTTCTGTGAATCTCTTTTCACAAACCCCTCTTTTTTGACTACTTATGTAGGAGGATTTGTTTCTGTACTGTGTATCATGTGAGGCCAACCACTTCACCAGGTATACACTAAAGTATTGGGACGCCTGCCTTTACACGCACATGAACTTTAATGGCATCCCAGTCTTAGTTCGTAGGGTTCAATATTGAGTTGCCCCCCCCTTTGCAGCTATAACAGCTTCAACTCTTCTGGGAAGGCTGTCCATGAGGTTTAGGAGGGTGTCTATGGGAATGTTTGACCATTCTTCCAGAAGCACATTTGTGAGGTCAGGCATTGATGTAGGATGAGAAGGCCTGGCTCACAGTCTCCGCTCTAATTCATCCCAAAGGTTTTCTATAGGGTTGAGGTCAGGACTCTGTGCAGACCAGTCAAGTTCCTCCACCCCAAACTGTCTCATCCATGTCTTTATGGACCTTGCTTTGTGCATTGGTGCGAACAGGAAGGGGCCATCCCCAAACCGTTCCCACAAAAGTTGGGGGCATGACATTTTTCAAAGCACTGTTGTTGTGCTAACCTAAAGGCCCAATGAAGTTTGGAGGTTTTTAGCGATTGATTCTGCAGACAGTTGGTGAATTCTGCACACTGTGGGCTTCAGCATCCACTTCGTGGCTGAGTTGCTGTTGTTCCCAGTTGCTTCCATGAATCATACATACAAAGAAACCCAGACAAATAAGTTCAGAAATTAATATAAGATAGGTGCAGTGCTAAAAATTATGAATAAACCTAATAAAACCAAGTAAGTTTCCACAATTGCAGTTCATAAACAGTTCAGAAAGTGATTATGGTGCACTTTAAGGTGCTTGCTTTCCTGGAGACCGGTATCTGTGCAATAATAATGTAGAAAATGCGCACTCACTGGACGCACATATAAAATGCGCCCGTATCAATAACTTCAAAAGGACATCAAGGCAAGCCAGGAATAGGGAGGTCTTCCCTCCAAGGGATGGATGGTCATCAAAAGGATCCCGGGATTCTTAAATGGTGATCCACATCAACCAGAGTTCCCCCCAAGGGGTTAAACGGGTGCTGCTCCCTGGGGTGACATGGTTGATTCAGCTCTCACAGGTCAGCAAAGGCAACAGCAGCTCTTACTATTAATTATTAGGAAGACATCCCTATTCCTGGCTTGCCTTGATGTCCTTTGGAGTTATTGATACAGGCGCATTTTATATGTGCGTCCGGTGAGTGCGCATTCT